AAATCAGATTTAGATTTAGATTCTGAATTAAATTAGCATTTAATAAATAAATTAAATGCTGATTAAACGTAATCAAAAGGCTACAGCCGTCTGGAATTTGAATGAACGGCATACTCTTCAAATTATTTAGGTATTATAAGTCCACTGGTATGTATTTATTTCTGAGAAATACGTTAAAGTTTAATTTTCCCTGTCCTACATCTTTGCGGAGATGGAATGAAATAAAAAATTTTCAGAGTGTAAATTGTATATATATGTACATACAGCCTTTGAAAAAGCAATCCTCAAAATGGACTCTATGAAAAGGAATGCATTTTGATTTGTTATGGAATTATAAAAAAATATTGCTTACAATGCCTCTGCGGACATAATTTGTGGGCTGGTTGATTTAGGAAATAAACGGACAAATGAGAGAGGTACGCATATTTGTGTTTTTATATGGATAGGGCTATCACTACGACAATTATTGAAGAATAAATTAGTCTGTGCAGGGAAATTGGGATTGAAAGTAAGTGCAATGACATGTGATTAAGGACCAAAAAAGCGGAATTGCTATAAATTATTGAATACTTCAGTGGAAAGACCGTACTGTATTCATAACAATGTAAAAATCTGTCTTCTATATGATGTACCACATTTAATAAAATCCATAAGAAATGCATTTATAAAGGCAGTTGTTGAAACCAAAAAATTAAATTTGATGTAATAAGAGCATTATTTGAGTTAGAACAGGGAAATGTGACTAAACTGACGAAATTGACGTTATCATATTGCACTTATTAATTTAGAAAAAATGCGACTGATGCTTGTTGCTCATACTCTGAGTCATACTATCGCAGCAGCAATTAAATCCGCAATTATAAATGAACAATTAAATAGAAATGATTCCAATGCGCCAGCATTTATTGATGTCATTGACAACTTTTTTGATGACCTCAATAGCAAAAAATTTAGTGATCCCAAGCTATTGAAACGTGGGTTAAGATTCGAAAATAGTGTTTGGGAAGTGTTTTTGGATTTATACGAGTGTATTAACTTGTTTGCCAAAGACATTTCCGTTACTCTGACTAACCGCTTCAACCGAGGTCCATTAGAAAATAAATTTTCGTATATATGTGCCACAGGTGATCATAACACAAATCCGTAGGTGTACGAGTTTAATATAATTTTAGCAAAGCTATGTGAGTTCCACTCACAATCAAAAAATCCTAGTAACGTTGTATTAACTTTGGAGAATATTTGTGGAGGCAATGAAGCGTACTTGGATGAAGAAGCGGACTCATTTTGTTCAGATAGAAGTCCCATAGAAATGAATTCTAGTCGATATTTTATTGGTTACATTGCACGTTGTCAAAAAAGTCAAAAATGTTCAAATTAAATCAAATTAAATCCATCAGAGATGTTTATACACACCATTTTTTAATATTTGTCAGATATATGTAGAATTGTTTAAAAAGATTTTTAAAGAAAACAAAAATATTAGAAATATAAGAAAAATAATAATGTTAAAATGTATAGAGTCATTAAAATTTCTGATAATGCTTCCTGCAGGCCGATTCCACTAATCGCTAAAACTCCAATCTCTTCGCTAAAATTCTTAAATAAGTGATTCGCTTATTTTAGGAGAATTAGCGATTGTAATATTTAATTAATATTTAATTAATATAACATTGGTGTGTGAATTAATTAAATAATGGACTTTTTGATAAGAAGGAGATTTTTTTTTTCTGGTGATGTGAAAGATTCACGAAATCATTTACGTTGGAAAAGAAAATTTTTGCGGAATTCTACAGACCCCTTCGCTATATCTGATGCGCGTTTTATTGAAATATTTCGTCTTTCGAAATATTTATGTAAGCTTTTCATGGCAGAAATAACTCCGTACATGGTACCGAGAAGTCGATCAGATGGAATTTCGAGGGACATACGCGTACTTGTTGCATTGCGTTTTTTTGCTCAAGGTAAGTTGATATTTAATGATTGCAAAAAAAGTAAATCAATTATGTTAATTTATAGGATGTTATCAGCTTTCTGTGGACCAAAGCTTTTTATTAAATGTTTCTCAGCCAGTTGTAAGTAGATGCGTTAAGGAGGTTGCAAATATAATGAATCGTCATTTTGTAGTAAAGTACATCAAATGGCCCAGAACAATTCAGGAATTATGCGCTATAAAAGAGAAGTATATCTTCTAGTTAATCGACAACTATTTGTAGATTTTATGAAAATTTCGGTTTCCAGGGGTAATTGGTGCAATTGATTGCACTCATATAAAAGTTAAAACCCCTAACTCAGCTATTGAGCATGTGAATGTCTGAGAAAAGGAGGACATTCGCTAAATGTTCAAGTGGTATGATTCAAATTTAATTTATTTACATACTATGATAATAGGCATTAATCTTAGGTATGCGATTATAATCTAAAAATTTTAGATTGTAATGCTCGCTTCGGCGGCACTGCACATGATGCATCCATATGGAGCGCCAGCACCTTACGAGTGCTTCTTACTCGAAAGTACGAAAATGTGGACCGAAATTTCCGGTTAATAGGTAAAACTTGATTGTAGATTAATTTTTTTGAGAAACTAATTCTATTTTTGTATTTTTAGGAGATAGCGGTTATCCCCTCTTACCCTTTTTGATGACACCTGTTCGATGAAATAATTTGTCGACGGCACATAATAATTATAATGTGCAACATCGAAAGGCGAGAAATTGCATTGAGCGTTATTTCGGATTATTAGAAAGTTGATTTCGTTGCCTTAGCAGCGAAAGAACTTTAATGTATGATCCTGAAACAGCGGGCAAAATTGTTAATTCATGTTTGGTGCCACATATCTTCATTATTAAACATAATATAATGAACAAAGTTAATGATATTGACTGAACAGAAAACACGGACGAAGAAATAAATGAAGATAATGACTTTGAAGCACAAGAACCCGTCCCTGAAGCGTTTCTAGCAAGAGAGAAAATAATCAATAATTATTTTCAATATTAATTGGGTTTTTTTTAATTGCCTTTTTATTAAAAGTTTAAATATATAGTTATTTATATTGTTATTATTTTAATATTATTTTATTAATAATAAATTGTTATTATGACCAATATTCAACACTTTTTTATTAATACTCTGGCCTTAGGTCGTTAATTTAACACATAAAAATTACACTTATAAATTTGTGTTAAATATTTAATTGTATTTTAGTTTTTATAAAAACTTATTTGTATTACAAATATTTGGGTCTACTTCGTAGACCATCTTCAGTGTCAAATGAGGAAGAAAACCCTTAAAAATAAACAATTATTTTATTAATAAAAAAAGCGCAAATTTCCGCATCACCCCTGAGGTATTGCACACAATGCGTTAACCAAATTATTTTATATGGCTGTGCATCTGTTCTTTAGTGGCCTGCACGCGTTCGTCCGCAATCTCGTTCTCTTGTTTGAGCTTTCTTTCCTCCAGCTCAAGTCAACGTCCCTCAAGCCTCAACCTTTTCTCCTCTAACTCGACGAACTTTTGGTTGGTCTGTTCTAATGAGGAATTTCGCTTTCGTCGCTTGGCTGGACGAATAGGTCTTAAAAGCATACAACCCTCATCGTTGCCACCAGCAGATGGACCTGAACCGCTTGGCAGTTCCTTTCCCTCCTCAAGGTACTAAAATTAAACATTTGTTAGATTAACAATTAAAAACTATATAAAAAATAATAGCGATAATAAGACATTCGCCTCTAATACTTACCTCTAAATCATAAAAACATGAAATGTCACCTCCTGGTGTAGAATTGTAACCTCATCGAAATTGGGAGAATGGTTCATTTTAATACAATGTGTTGCAAACGTAGGATGTTGTTAGAAATGCTATATATAATTGACGTTCCAGATGATAAACAACTGAACTACAAGAGCGATACTGAAGGCTTAGCGCAAATATATATATCACTAATCAAAAATTAATTGCTAAGTTTATATTTACTTTTATTTGTTTTTATAAAAATTAAAATTTTCTTTAAAAAATATGTTTTTCGTCTGACTATGACAACACTGGTTGTTATTCTTTTTTAAAAATTAATTTCCCTTTTTCATATCTTTTTGTTTAATTATTATTTGACTTTTGACATTAAAAAAAATTTTTTTTTTTATATATAATTGTATTTGTAAAATTTCAATAACACTGAAGATAGCCTACGAAGTAGGCCGAAATATTTGTTAATAAAATAATTTATTACATAAATTAATCTTTGTGATATTTTATTTAATTCAAAGTTTGTTTTTATTTTTTTATATAAAATACAAGTTATTATATAAAAATTTAAAATTAAAATATTGAGGTCAACACCAATACGAACATAATTATTTGTTTTTAATTTTTGTTTCTTTTTCTTGTTATTACATTTAACAAAAATTTAGTTAATGTCGAATACTTTTTTTGACCACTGTAAATGACTTTTTCTGTGTTCTGCCGTTTTCATTTTCTACATTTGCAACGTCTACGAGAAGTTATTCGACCTTTAATAGCCAGCTGATTAAAAGAACTTCTGCTCACACCAAAATTATTTTTGAATGCTTCCCCATTTTGAGATAGACAAAGACAAAGATTGTTTTGCTCTAGGTAGAGTTGTTGTTGTTAAACCAGAATTTTGAGTAGGCTAAATTAGATAAAAATTAGCTAAATTAAAGATTTTATAAATCTTTAAATTAAAGATTTTATAAATCTTTAAATTAAAGATTTCATTGTAAAGATTTTATAAGATTTTTAATAAGTAAATAAATAAATTTGAAAACTTTTATCCAAAAATAATGAATAAGGGCAATAAATAAATGAATAAATATTTACATAAGTGAAGCGCAAAAAATCCCTAGGAAATTTCAATTTACTTTACCATCAATTTATTCGAACTCGCACACAGCCTTATAATGAGAAATTTGACTATTAGATTTTTTGAAAATGCAACCGTGATATTTTATTTCGAAATTTAAAATCAGAGCTTGGTAGCCCTAAATAAATCTTGGCAGAAATTTCACAGTATTCCATTCAATTGGTTGTTGGTTGGTTTTGTTTTCCGTTATAAAATCGTAAAAATTGCAATATTTAAGGAAAATGGCTGCAAGATTAATTCAAAAAATTGTAAGAATTTGAAGTTTAAAATTTAAGAAGTTGTTTTGTGTGTGTCAGTACCTTCAACTTTCCTTTATTCCGTTTGGTTCCTTAAAATATTTTTAGATAAAATTTATTGGATTTAATTCTGCACGAGACTCACGTGAGGTTACAACGAGTTTGGGGACAACCGACGTAAAGGTCGGTCTATAAAAATTTCCTTCTAAGTGGTAAAACTGTCTGCTGATATAAGCAACTATTTTTATATAACACATTAAATTCAATATAAACTCTGTTACATCTTAGCACTCATTTTCTAATGTCCTAGTATTGGGTCATATTTGTCAAAGGATAAGGTATTCTTATGATATATTTCTTCCAAATTTGTTGAAGGAGCTTTCATATAAAAAATTTCTTAACCTCAATTAAAGTTTCGTGTGCCTCTAAAATATACTCAAACAGATGCAGACGAAACGAATTTTCTTATGTAACCTATTTTGCAAAACCAGTACCCGCATTATGTGTATATTTTGTAAATAATAAAAATGTGCTTTAAATTGATTATTTTACTTCAATAGGTTGGTTCTGTTCCGAACTCAAGCCGTGCTTACTCATCTAATGCAAAAAAAGTAACATTAATTCCTGGTGACGGTATAGGTCCAGAAATATCTGCCGCTGTGCAAAAAATTTTTGCAGCTGCCAACGTTCCAATTGAGTGGGAGCCTGTAGATGTCACGCCTGTTAAAGTAAGTTTTGTATAATTAGTTTATGCTTAAAACGATGGTTCTATAATTAAGGAAATTCCAGAATAAATTGATTTAATTAGTAACATTTTATAAAAAATTAGGTTAAATTAATATTTTGATTCTATTGAGAAACAAACATGAATATTAAACAAATAAAAAGTGTTTTATTAAATACGCATGTATATCTTCTAATACGTATAAAATATATTTAAGGGTCCTGATGGAAAATTCGGAATTCCACAAGCAGCTATTGATTCTGTTAACACCAACAAAATAGGACTCAAAGGTCCTTTGATGACACCAGTAGGTAAAGGCCATCGTTCACTTAATTTGGCACTGCGCAAGGAATTTAATTTGTATGCCAATGTAAGACCATGCAAAAGTTTGGAGGGTTATAAGACCCTCTATGACGATGTCGATGTTGTCACCATTCGTGAAAA